GCCTCGGTCGCTTGTCTCTGTCGCGTGCAGCCAAATTGTACCTTAAGGTGCATTACCATGTAACAGCCCTCCACTAGACCCAGTCATCAATGCATTCGGTCCACATTAACATATTTATTTAAGATCAAATTAGATATTATCCTCTCATCAAGACCTATGATTCTAGAGCAATTAATGATTGTAAACGCACAGCCATCCCACTACATGCCATGGTGGCGTTTGTGGGGAGAGAAGGTATATCTCCAGTTCGTGGTCAGCGTCACGCCCCGACAACGGTTAACCCCTGGTAGAACTGGATCCACCTATTATGGCCGCTGACCTTGAAGGGAGAGCCCAGTATGCGGACCACTCAATGAAGGAAGGAAGGAGTTTCCGTCGGTCAGTACAGTCTGTGTCAGTGCACCGGTGTAGAAGCCTGATAATTGTCGTCTTGTGACTGTGCTGTGTTAACAACATGCCACCTGTACGTTGCAATCTCCTTTCTGGTCATTGATAACGCCTCGTATCACAGACAAACCACCGACGTCTTAATCAAAAGAGGACGAAATGAAGGCCTGGCTATTGGAAATAAACATCCCATTCTGAAAGCTCATCTGTAAGATTTAATCAAATTAAATAATTCAAAGCACAAATATTACGTGATTAATCAGATTTTAGCAGACAAAGAACGTGCCGTGCCGAACACACACACAGAACACACGTCACAACATCTTCATCTTCAGCTGTAAATTGCTGACAAGTGAATCTGGAAGAAAGGAATCAAAGTGGCAAGGAAGCTGAGCTGTGGTCCGGATTCCAATGTTGAAGCATTCTACGTCGTTAACATTCGACAGCGTAAAGACTATCCAACTGTCTGTGTCAAATGACGAAACGTACACAGATCCAGTCGTCACGGAAACCAGACATCTTCCCTTGTGCCCGTTTTGCTCATATTAAGGGGACTTCATGTTTGTGAAGACGGCAGATGCGGGACCATCAACAGGGACGTTCTCTGATTCTGGGTCAACTACAATTTTTTTAGGTTTACGTGGTTCAACTTTTGCAATTTAGAAGTTTCATCTTTTTATTCTGTTTTTTAACAAATTGCAATGTCTCCTAAATCTACTTATACATGTAGGTTAATGTCTCAAGACTCTTAGACTCCACCCCTCGTTGTGTGTCTCTAATTTCCATTTTGCATGCTTTAGAAATAATAACAGAAGCCAAATATTTTTATCATAATGAGACCTAAAAGACGTATCTAGTCTATAAATAGCGTCGCGGGTCTGTCACGTGACAAATGCCGCATATCTGGCTGATGTAACATAAACTTTGGCCTGGCCTTCCTCCACGCCAGTCGGTGCGCCGTGTGACCGCGAGAACACTGCTCCAGAGATGGGAATAAACAACACACGAGGCTGAGATAACTTCATAAAGCGCGTAAACATGATAACTCTCTTGCTCGGAATGAAAATGTTGGGGACGAGCTCGGACAGGTCTGTCTGTACGGCGTGGACGAAGATCGCAGACCAATGGCAAAGGAGTGCAGTGGTTGAAGGTCGAAAGATGGTTGTGGTTAAAGGATAGGATCTGAAGAATTGGCTTCATCTAGAACAGCGGTATTCAACCTTTTTTGTTCGCGTACCCCCAGCCACGGTGGTCTAGCGGTTAAAACGCTGGCCTTGTAATCCTGGGGTCTCGGGTTCGATTCCCGGCGGTGCCCGAATTTATAACTTGTGTTGGGCAAGGCCGTGGTCTAGGCAACACGGAGTTTTCCTCCATGGCATCCCAACAATTACTCCATTCACACACACAGAAGAAGGCAATGGCAAACCACCTCTGGATCATCTGCCAAGAACGTATATGAACAGGTCCCAGGCCGAGAAAAGGAGGGAAGGATCCTGTTCATAATGTCGCCAACCTCCTGTAAAGGAGACGGCGTAATAAAGAGGCAATGGCAAACCACTTCTGGATCATCTGCCAAGAACGTATATGAACAGGTCCCAGTCCGAGAAGAGAAAAGAATGGAAGGATCCTGTTCATATGGACCTGTCGTCAGACAGAACACTAAATAAATAAATACCCCCAGATATAATTTCTCTTCAACTTTGTACCCCCAAAGTTGTTCGTGTATAATTCGAGTTATACACAGTATATAATCTACATCTAAAATAAATTAAATTACTGATTATTCAGTGTTTATCATAAAATAATACATATATTATTTTTAAATTTCACGTAATCCCCGGGGGTACGCGTACCCCAGGTTGAATACCACTGATCTAGAATGTGAATGAATGGATCAAAAAGATTCTGAACAAGAGACCTCAGAATTAGAATCAATTTACATAAAATCTGCACAAAGATAGCTCCCTTGAAGGAAATGTCAAAAATTCGGGGGGGAAAAACTTGCTCATATATTGGAAAACATGGAAAATAAAACAATGCCCCTCAAATATCAGGCAGACGTTCTGTAGGGCAAAACTGCCTCTGTTTACAGTTGGTGGAAAAGGGTAAAATACTCTGTGGGGCCCGTTACATGAAGCTAGTCGTTTTCAAAACGCTACAACAGCGAGACATTAAGACGATTCTACATGCGTTCACTGATAAAGTTTCAATGTAACTGTCACTTACCTGCTTCCGGAATACACCGCTAAAAACAAACACGAAAATTAATTTTATTATCGTTATGGAACGATATTTCACTCATATCAGGGAAAACCCTGTCGCTCTTGGCGGTGAAACATGCAGTTCCAGCAGAAAAGTGACAGTTACGATCAACTTTACCAGTGAACGCACTGCAGAATGTTTTACACAACACAGACCAAGGCCATGCCTCTCAAGGTTATGTTTTTTTCAGGGAATTAAGGGCAATCCTATGATTACAAATAACAGTTTCAGTTCAGTATCACGAATCTGTGGCAGAACAAGTTGAATTTTACTCAATCTGTCGTCGTTAAACACTATAGCATTTGTACAAATCAAGGAACAAATCATATGTCAGCAAACATCATATCACATAAAAGTATATTACCATTTTCATAAAATTCAAGTTTTAAATGCTGACATACACATCATAGGCCCTATTTTGCAATTCTATGGTATCATTTTTCAACATCTAAGCTTAAAATTGGTACGAAATAATGTCTTTATTATGGCAATAGCATTTCAGAACAGAGCTCCTATATTTCAGATGCGTTCTTTGCGATGTTTCACACTTCCATGAATCTGATATTTACTTCTTACAGATAAAATACTATTTTTGCAAATGTAACCGCGTTAAACACTACACTCTCATCAGACTCATATGAAGTATGGTTTATATTCAACCGGTACATAACAAAGTCAAAAGAAACAATCTCCCAACAACCTTTAATCTAGAACCCAGTACCGAATTTTGTCGAGATAATTTGAGTATTTAGGGAGATGAAACATGCGCGGAAAATAGTTCTACACAGTCTGGAGTGCACATACACGTGTTATTTTATAAGCTTTCCCCCACGTATTTAATTTTTATTAATTTTAAATTTCTATAACAACCATCTTCCATCTGGCCTCAACTTACATCACATTACTTCAAGTTCGTTTACCGTTCAAAGACTTTTCCTTGGCCTAAACGTAATGTTATGGTAAAATGTTATGTCAGCACGTTTTAAAACTATGTTTCTTTCTTTCTTCACAGCTTACAACAAAGACTATCCTTGCATATAAGAACAGAAGTCATTGAAGGGATGACTCACCATAATAGCCTGTCCGACTTGTTCGGTCCCAGTGTAGCCAACCTTGCTCTCAATACGAAGCAACCTTTTCCTTACAGGGACTTCTCGAAAACAATAATCCTTCTGTCAGTTTGTTACGACGTAGTTATGTTACCGGACAAATGATTCGGCAAAACGCAGAACACGACCTTCATATGGACGGTGATCTAACGATCTATCTCTTTCAAGGTCTCTCGTTAACTTGTATAGGCCAGCTCAGAAAACTATGTACCTGTTTATAAAATCTACAGAATCGGTTTAGCATTTACTTCTGGTCCATCTTCTTCTTGATTTTAGAACGGATACAAAGAAAATCTGAAAACCGCACTGTTAGCTACAGAAACAACTGAAGACAGACACTTCCCCTACGCACACATCGTCTTACTGCAGAACTCGTCTCGGCCACAACTCAGGGCGGGCGATGACTCAAGTTTTCGCGTTGTGACGTTCTATTTGGCATGAAACCACATCTTAATAACACAGAGGTCGCTACAGGGCACCAGTCTCAAAACGTTGAGGTTATGGATTAAACTGCACTTAAAACATTTATTTAACTAATGCGCCTAAGCCATTCTTGAACTGCCAATAATTACGTCTGATTCAAAACTATTTTTGAAACTGACTTCTTAGAGAATTGACAGAACGACTTTCTTTTGTTTGGGCGTTCAGTCCGATAAGCTCCTCGGTGCAGTCAGCATTATACCATCGCAAAAGAGACTCGCTCTTAGCCTTCCCCTTGAAAATTCCACCGGCACCAGTCAATGGTAATGAGAAATTAACCACACACAAATAAAAAGAGGACTGGATGGATTAGATAAAGCCCACAGTGAGTGGCCACTTAATTAGCCTAATTAAAACGAAGTGGTAGGGTGGTTAATTAAGACGGTCAATTGTGAGTTATTGTAAAATAAGCAAACAAACTATTAACACTATAAAAAAGACACTAGTGTTAATAGTTTGTTTACTTATTTTATATTCTAATACACTACACGGTATGCAAAGTTTTAAGAGAATTAATGTCTTCACTTGGAGAAACGATTAACAAATAAAAGAGTAAGAAATGCAGCACAGAATGAAAAATCATTACTCGTATTTACTAAGCAAAACAGCGATTCATAAATTACAGACAACACACCATGCAAGAATAATCTTTGAAAGTCTATAATAAATTAATAATAATAATAATAATATAAATTAAGGTATTAAATTTAACGAATAAAACAACCCAACAGTTGTTTTCTGGTGCACAGATGAGTCACATATTTTAAGAAATAGCTTCTTATATAGTAAATTATCCATCTATGCAACAAACAAAAGGAAAAAAAAAACACTTGGCTGATCTTTTATTACAATTATTGAGATAATGAGTAGAAAAAAGGAAGTCATGTCAGAGAGCTAGTTAAAAGGGCATCTGTTAAGAGAGAGACTGCTGAATAGACTACTAATAACAACGAAGATATGTTTCAACCAGAACTAGTACTGCAGCAGGCGGAAAAGGATCAAATTGCCCTTAAAGGGTACAGGAGACAACAGGAACAGGAAATAAGAGGTAGAAGTTCAGATATGAGACAAGGAGCTTATCACTCAATAACAAACAGAAGTTGATTTAGCAAACAAAAAGATTTGATTAAATTTTCTAGTAGTTAGACATGACCACTGAAATGAGTCCATTTTAGAAATGTGTAGACAAAGGCAGATTGAAGTAGCGCTGCTACCCAGAGATCTATCACTGAACTCAGTTTGTGTTAGCGTTTAATCTACACGAGCTCATCTCCCATTTTTATCCTTTATATTATCTGCATATCTCTGGGTTATTTCACGCTGTGTCGATTCATTAATAATTTTAAATTAGGAGGCACCATATTAGGGTGTAGAATGTAAAAATAACCTTAATAACAGTTAATAATTTTACTTTATACATGTGTTAACATTAATTATGTTTATGCATGACCTTTGATGGCTTTACACTCATTCATGACCTTTCAGTATATTTGATAATGAAGTGAACTTTAATTGCAGCTATCACAAATGTTGATGGGCCATCATGTGCGCAGATTACATATAAGTGTGGCATCTTGCCTAAAAGCTTGTACAGCATCCTTTGAAACTGGAACAACGGAATGAACGCGCTACGACTATTAGCATCGCTCACTTCTTTCATGGATAAACATCCAAACTACCTTTGACCATGCAGATGAGCACTACAACACATTTCACATCATATTAAATAAATTTTAAAATATAAATTCTAATATTCAACTAATGTAACAGAATGTTCACCAAGAATTTATGTCTTACACAAGAAGCCCATTCTGTTGTTCAAAAGTTAAAACTCTGCACCATTTTGTATCTTCTTCGCAATTTGTGACATGATAACGAGGTCAACATTTTCTTAGATGATAGAAACACTTTGTGAGAGAAATATTAATAAAAATAAAGTTTTGATTTTGACTCAGTTACAAGTCAAAGTCCAGAAAAGAGTAAAGACTTCTATTTCAATAAAAGTTTCTCTGCCCTTCACACTACATGATGAGGATGATGATAATGGTAGAACTGCACTGTTCAAACAATAATATGATAACTTTTGTCTGAGTACGTATGGCAATCTCTACAAATATACATTTTACTAGGATCACAGCCCCATAACAATCGATGGAACATAATAATATCAACATTAGATTCATATCTGTTACATCTAATTCTAGAAATTCCACCTCTTTCTCTAAACTTTTGGATGAAATTTCTAAAATAAAATAATGTAATCCAGGGGTCCCCAGTTTGTAGCCCATGCACGTTTTTATGATATTGTATAACCCTGCATGATAAAAAATTGTTGCCATTTAAGTTAAGCATTGATATAACTGAAATTGATAGTTAATATATAATAAATAAAAATTTGTTATAAAATCGAATGAGTAACAGGCTTCAGAAAACCTCTTTTCTCACTGTTAATAAATTTCCATGATGTTTCAATAAATTGACCTCATTAATAACTTACCATTTAGTGAATCAATACATAAGTGTGAGTGTAGCCCCAGGAACTGAATGGTCATGAACCCCTGATATAGTTGAAGAGTAAAACTTTTGAGACTTATGCCAAATGGCATCTTAGCTCATGCATATTTAGGAACCAACATCATTTCTATTGTAAAACAAGCATCAATAATTAAAGAGAAGTCTGGAGAGAGCCAAATGTTAATTCATTCTGCATACTGCATTAACAAAGCAATTTTATACCAAAGAAATAATGACTGAACAAATCAGAGAAGAGAACTTCACACATCCAAATATTACATCAGCCATCTGTGTATAGAAGTGACACATGAGAACGGCTCATTACAACGACCAGAAATTCAACCTATTAAACACCAATCGTATTTGATACATCTAACCTCTGAGATTTAACTCACAGACCAAGTGCATTTAAACAGTACCACCGTTTCTATTCCAGAACTTATAATCAATATACACTTACACAATGAAGCAGAGTCCTTCTTGAGAAGCCAACAGTCGCCCAGCCACTCAACAAATTCCCAACATTTTGTGGAAAACGAAGACTCATTACCATGTTCACAAGATCCCACCACTGGTCCTTATCCCGAGCACACATTCCACAGTTGATCGCATTATTTCGTTGCTGAACACGTCTAAAATCAACAACAGGTATACACGAAACAAGTTTGATAACATATTTCTTACGAGCTTCATTAATATGTGAACCTGAGCAGTTTTAGGCCACTTACTGTCGTCTCAATAACCCACGTACTTATAAAGAGTTCGTTTGAGTTATACCATCGGTTTCCGGTTAACGAGCTGTTGGGACAGGATTTTACCGATCTGGTCTATGTGGACATCTTCTAGGAGTTTGTTTTGAAATGTAAAAACGTTCCAGATCTTTACCAATTCACATTCTACGATTAACACTGATTTAACATATTCAAATTATTATTAGCATTCACGCAATGGAAACATTACGCTAAACAAAAGACTGTACACTAGTTCATGGCCTACTATATGCTTCCATGCAGCGTAACAGATTCCAACGAATTAATTATCATCAATGGCAAACAGAAACAGCGGAATATCGCAGCGTCTTGTCTGAAATAAAGGTGGATGAACACACTTGTATGTGCTTACGTTCACCCAAAATTCATTATATTGAGGAAAGGCAGAGGGTGACAAAAACAACACGGTCACGAACATTGTCGTAATTTAATACTCTTTAGATATCTGTAAGAACTGACTTACTGGCAATATTTAATAATGCATCAATTCACAATATTTTGATACTATATAGACATTTTTCTTAATTTATGTGGTAGATACAGTTTATAGTATATTGATGCCACATCTCCAATTATCATATTTTGTTGCATGGTCCTCGGAATATATTTTAGACCTAAACTTGGTTTGAATCTACGGATTTTATTCTTCCATTTCAAACATTACTCACTCAATCACATATTTGAATCATCCATATGAGAGTGAAATATTGGTGACAGTGACAACAAAACATTTTGTTAAATACCAGTTTTTGCAGTTTCTCAGTAATTTATAATTATTAACAGAGGAGGTCTGTATTTATTGTCTCCAAACAATTACAGAATGCACAGGATTGTTATATTCTGCAAGACAAAAACATTTCAGAAACTTAATTTACATGTAAATTACACCACCACAACAGTAATAGTGCACTGTCAGACCTTATTAATATATATTAAATCAGTCAGCTGCTTGCTTACATGTTTCTTCTAGATTGAAGATAAATTTAATGTGGTGATATTAAAACAAAACACCACATTTGTTACAAAATTATAATTTCAGTGTACAATGACAAGTTTCATTATATTGATGGGAATTAGTAGTTAACGGATATGCAGAATGTTTCGATATATTCATTGCACATCTAGTATTTGTTATTAATTTCTTCATGGAAGTGATTCAATTTGAACATACAAATTTTTTCTGAAAATATTCTTGCTTATAGCCAATACACAAAGTAGCAAAACAGTTCAATTATGTAACATTGAGTCGGGGCATTTTGCTCTTGATCGAGAAATCCAACACATGAGTGAACAGCAGAAAAACAATTTTTTCTAGAAAACGTAACAATAAAAGCCAGGCACTGGAAGAGTACCGATAATAAACGAATGGCTTGGACATTGAAAAACTATTAACATACACACGTGCACCTGCACATGTTCTGACTTAACAACAGTTGCATGTAAACAAAATAAATCTGCAAATCTTGACACCATTCCTCTTTGATAAAACACCATTTTGAGTAATAAGTTCTGATGAAAAAGTACTTAGGGATTTCTTATTTACATTTTGACTGTTCCTAAGAACACGTCCCCGACACATTTTCAGGAATTATATAAAATGTTTGTGAATGTTGGCTAAAATAAACTTTTATCATAATACGAGCAAATGGTTCTTAACATAACCATTAACATATTACATGGCGTCCCAAAAATCTTTAGATAATCTTGTGATAATAAGGCATAATGTTTCTGAAAACAAATCTTTCAAAGAGCATGTGTATGGGGCTGGAACCAGGATCATGTCATGGATGTCAAGGGGTAAATGTGCAACTGCCTTTGTATTTACTACACTGGTTTTTCAGGATAGAAAATACCTGTCTTTTTGTAAATATAGTGACAGTTTGATACAGTATTAGAAAACAGCATTGCTTCTCAAATAAAGCAAAATTTAATCTACTGCACACATGTTGTGAACCATCTAAGCTTAATTTGTGAATTTATTGGTTATGGGCTGGATGAATGGTTTTAAATCAGTTGTTGGGTATTATTCTCAATACTATACTCAAAATAGTTTCATAGCCCAGCCATTCTCTAATCCAGTGGGTA